CTGGGATTCAAGCCCCCTTAAGTTTCCCCATTCTATTGGGTCTATGATGCTTAGTGGTTACACAGAGACTGCAGAACTATTTCAAAGTGCATGCAAGATGGTTACTTTTGCCAAAACATTTTTCTTTCCTGAATTCCCAAATAGGTGGGGGGTTAGGAACAAAACTGGGATTCAAGCCCTCTTAAATTCCCCCATTCTATTGGGTTTATGTAGATGCTTAGTGGTCACACAGAGACTGCAGAACCATTCCAATGTGCATGCAAGATGGTTAGTTTTGCCAACACATTTTTTCCTGAATTCCCAAATTTGTGGGGGGTTAGAAACAAAACTGGGATTCAAGCCCCCATAAGTTCCCCCATTCTATTGAGTCTATGATTCTTAGTGGTTACACAGAGACTGCAGAACTATTTCAAAGTGCATGCAAGATAGTTAGTTTTGCCAACACATTTTTTTCCTGAATTCCCAAATATGGGAGGGGGGGGGGGGGGGGGGTTAGAAACAAAACTGGGATTCAAGCCCCCATAAGTTCCACCATTCTGTTGGGTTTATGTAGATGCTTAGTGGTTACACAGAGACTGCAGAACTATTCCAATGTGCATGCAAAATTGTTAGTTTTGCCAACACATTTTTCTTCCCTAAATTCCCAAATACCTGGGGAGTGAGGTTAGAAACAAAACTGGGATTTGGGACCTCACTACCTCTGAGGATGCTTGCCATAGATGCAGGCGAAACGTCAGGAGAGAATGCCTCTAGACCATGGCCATACAGCCCGAAAAAACCTACAACAACCCAAAACTGGGATTCAAGCCCCCATAAGTTTCCCCATTCTGTTGGGTTTATGTAGATACTTAGTGGTTACACAGAGACTGCAGAAGCCTTTCAAAGTGCATGCAAGATGGTTAGTTTTGCCAAGACATTTTTCTTTCCTGAATTCCCAAATACCTGTAAAGATGCAAGCGAAACGTCAGGAGAGAATGCTTCTGGAGACTGCAGAATTATTTCAAAGTGCATGCAAGATGGTTAGTTTTGCCAACACATTTTTCTTTCCTGAATTCCCAAATACCTGTAAAGATGCAGGCGAAACGTCAGGAGAGAATGCTTCTGGAGACTGCAGAACTATTTCAAAGTGCATGCAAGATGGTTAGTCTTGCCAACACATTTTTCTTTCCTGAATTCCCAAATACCTGGTGAGTGAGGTTAGAAACAAAACTGGGATTCAAGCCAGGCGGGCGTCAGCTTCAATCCTAGTTTTGTATCCCATTTTTTTTTAAATTCAGGCTTTGTCTCAGGAATTTTTCTCAGAGTTTCGCCTGCAATTCCTGCACCGAGATAATTTTCCCCCAAATAGAAATGTTAAAGTGCGGTCAGCAGCACCAAGTGACAAGCTGTGTTAGTTACTTGATACTTTGGACAGCTAATGTTTACTCCGAGATATTTTAAGCCCAAGTCAATAACTCGGGGGCCCGCCCTGCAGCGAAATATTTGAAGTGCAACACCTTGGACACGTTTAATGAGGGGGTATTAGCCGAGCCAGGCCTCCCCAGTAATTAGAAAATACTTCTGAGGAGACAGCCCTAATCGCTTTCCATGGGGCGCTTGGAGAAATTAACCTCAAGGGGTTGGTTAGACCTTGAGACCAGGGAAACTGCATCTCTTTGCACGGCCAGAGAGTCAAGATTTTCCAAAGTTGTTTGGAAAAGGAGGAATTAATACAATATTTTGGTTGGACAAAGCAACAGGCCGACCTCATCACACTAGAGAATGAATCCACTTTCAATCCGGTTTCTGCCTTCTGCAGAATTCTGGGAGTTGTAGTTTAGGAAGGAGCTTTTCATAGCCTCACAAAACTACCAACCTCTGAATTTTTCAGATTTAAAGTGGGTTCATTTTCTAGGAATAGTCGTGGGGAGGAGGCTCTGCGTTACAGCAACACCTACTTAAAGGCTTACGAGAAACAGATCAAATTTCCCCGGATCGCTTTCCTCAAACTTCCAGATCTCCTAAACACATTTCCGTGGGATTGAAACACACCTCGTGGATTGAAACGCGGCTCACTTCCAAGTATAGGTGTGGAAAAAAATTAATAAATCTGTTTCTTTTGGCCATATCACTGCACTTTCCTGCCTCTGCACTTGCTTTACTCTCCCAAATATTTTGCATTCCCCGGCTGTCAGACCCTAAAAATAGCTCATCGTTACTGAAATATGGAACCACAACAACACCCGAATGCAGCACCAAACACTCACAGACTACACACACACACACATATATATGAGAGCAAAGTGGGGATAGGTTAATACATCTCAGTCTGATTTTGGTCCCTTTTTCTTCTGATGCTTTCAAGGGCCAACTAGATCCGTGCCCTCCTCTCCTTCTAAGATTAATCCAAGATTAATCAGCCCCCTCCTGGAAAAACAACGCCCGAGGCCTCTTGCCAGGTCGAAACGTGTGGGGACCCTGTGGGTGTGAGGGGGAGGGAGATATTTTAAGGAGGGGGGAGCGACAGATATTCCTCAATTGCTGGACTCCGGTCCGCCTGGCCTTCTGCTTCCCCCCCCCCCCGCCTTGTCCTTGCCTGATTCCTTTCCCATTTCACCCCACAAAACCCCACTTTTTATCTCCCCCTCCTCTTCGGTTTCATCCCTCCGGAGCAGAGGGTGAATTTGCTCCAGTATGTGGTGAACCAAGAGTCCTGAAATATTGGGAAAGGGCCGGGGAAGCTGCCTGGAGTGGAGGAGGCTCTTTCTGTTTTGGCTTCATGGAGAGGAAGGGGGGGGGGGAGGGGTCCTTCGGCTCGGCTAAATCCTGTGTCTCAACCTTGCAAGAATTTATTGGTGAAATCTCTTCTCCTTCTTCCTCTTTRTCCCTTTTCTTCTCCTTTCTTCTTCTTTTTCTTCTTTTTCTTCTCCTCCTCCTTCTCTTCTCCTTCTTCTTTCGCCTTCTCCTTCTCTTCTTTCTCCTCCTTTCTCCTTCCCCTTCCTCTCCGTCTCCTTCTCTTACTTCGTCTCCTTCTCTTCCTTTTCCTTCACTACTTCTTCTTCTTCTTCTTCTCCTTCTTCTCCTTCATCTTATTTCGCCTTCTCCTTCTTTCTCCTTCCCCTTCGTCTCCCTCTCTTTCTCTTCCTTCCCTTCTCCTTCATCTTCTTTCGCCTTCTTCTTTTCTCTTTCTCCTTCTTTCTCCTTCCCTTCAACTTCGTCTCCTTCTCCTTCACGCCTTCGCCTTCTCCTCTTTCTCCTTCTCCTTCTCCTTCTTTCTCCTTCTCCTTCCCCTTCGACTTCTTTTCTTCCTTCTCCTTCTTCACTTCTCTTTCTCCTCCTTCACTTCTCCTTCTTTTTCTTTCGCCTTCTCCGTCTCTTCTCCTCTGTCTCCTTCTTCTTTCTCCTTCCCCTTCCTCTCCTTCTCCTTCATGCTTTCTCCTTTTTCTTTCACCTTCTCCTTCTCTTCTCCTCTTTCTCCTTCTCCTTCTTTCTCCTTCCCCTTCCCCTTCATCTCCTTCTCCTTTTCTTCCTTCTCCTTCTCCTCCTTCGCCTTCTCCTTTACCCTCCTTCCCCTTCGTCTRCTTCTCCTTCTTCTCCTTTTTCTTTCGCCTTCTCCTCTTTCTCCTTCTCCTTCTTTCTCCTTCCCCTTCGTCTCCTTCTCTTTTTCTTCCTTCTCCTTCTCCTTCTTTCGCCTTCTCCTTCTCTTCTCCCCTTTCTCCTTCCCTTGCTTCCTCCTTCCCCTTCGTCTCCTTCTCTTCCTTCTCCTTCTGCTCCTTAACTTCTCCTTTTTCTTTCGCCTTCTTTCTCCTTCTCCTCCTTCTCCTTCCTCTTCCTCCTGTGTCTTCCAAAGCAACACCCAGTGTCCCTTCCCTTCATTGACCTTTGGGTGACTTTCACAATTCCAAGACCAGCCAAGCAGAGATCCTGCGGATGTCATAGAAGAGCCGAATCACATTTGGGTGCCTTGAAGAGGACCTTTTGTGGACGGGAGAAGTTCKAAGCAGGCAGAAGGAGAACATTCTCAAGGAAAAGGCTGGGTTGCTCTATTGYCCGATTATTTTGCATTAGTTAAAGAAAAATATCTCCAAAGAGGAGCTTCTCTCTCTCTCTCTCTCTCTCCCCCCCCCCCTTTCCTACGCCACCCAATCCCCTTCGTGGTGTTTATTTTGATTCCAAGCGCTGGGAGGAAGGGGGAAGCCCTCGTCCTGCTGCCTGTCAATGCAAACCTCTCTGTTTAATATTGTTTTTGAAGCCCGAATACATGATCAAAGGCTCCTGTCCGGTTTGCAGCTGAATGATTCAATTATCAGACCCTCTCGCATATGTTGCACGGCAGCAGCAGCTCGGTCCCAGGAAGAAGAAGAAGGCCCGCGCCAGGGAAGAAGCTGCTGCTTTCGAAAACAAACAGAAAGCAGGAATATTTGGAGGTCTTTTTCCTGCAGGCTAGGCTTTGGGATTACAAAAGGGGAAGGCTGGCTGGGGAAGGGAGGGAGGGGGAGGGAGGGGCACCCAGGAAAGAGACGCTAAGACAAAAAAGAGGGAGACGGAGGGGGAAATTGAACCGCTTGGGATGCTTACTTTCAACCCCAATCTGCAAATAAATAAATCGGCTGCACACACACACACACACACACAAACTTCCTTTGTATCGCACAAGGAATTGTGGGATTCCGTCCCTTCTCCTTTCCTTTCCCCCCTCCCAACTCGGATTGTAAACAGTATGGATTGTATACATTGAGATAGAGATGCAGAAAGAAAGGAAAGGGGATCCTCCACGTTGCAGGTATGTCTGCATTTGACAAAAAAAGCACAAATAAGAGAGAGAGAAAGGACGCTATAGCTTTAAAACCGGGGGGAAAGGAAGAGGAGAGGGAGGAGGGGGGAGAGGGAGGAGGGGGGCTTCTGCTGCTGTCATTTACGAGAGGGCGGCTGGGTCACGTGTGGACGAGCCCGCTCCGCCATTGGCCCGAGGCACGTGTCTAGGATACCGGCCTTTGCGACGTCACTTGAGGAGCTGTATTAAAAATAAGAACAAAAATCCAGAGTGAAAGTATTTCAGGTTCGGGGGTTAAGTGGCTTCTAATTTCACACCTCCAAAAGTGTAGACAGGAAGGAGAGAGGGAAAGAGAGAAAGGAAAGAGAGATCTCCCTCTCCTCGTCGAGCTCCTCGCCTGTCTCCTTCCGATGCAACTTGGACTATTTGGCTCAAAGGGGAGGAGGGCGTCGGAGGCGGCGGTGGTCGTCCAGATGCCTTCCCAGGCTGCGTTTCCTGGGCGCTGCTGAGTAGATACTCTCCCTCTCCGGTCTCCAGATGGGCTACCACTGACCCACGCTCTCTCCACCCCTGGAGAGCTGAGGAAAGTCCTCGGGATGGATCCACGCCGGGGCCACGAAGGCACGAGGCGGGCGCCCTGCTGAGACTGAAGGCGGACAAGGCCCCGGAGGAGGTAGAGGAGAAAGAGGAGGAGGAGGAGGAGCAGTCCCGCACGCCTTTGCCGGGGGGCTGAGGGGGGCAACGCTGGCCCTGGATCTCTGGGAGGGAGCTGAAGAGCCCAGAAGGGCGCCCGAACAAAAGGGGAAGCCAGCGTTGGGGGGCTCAGCATGGAGGAGCGCCCGGGCAGCGAGCAAAGCGGCGAGGAGCAGCAGCAGCAACCCCATCCCCATCCCCATCCCAACCATCCGCCGGAGGAGTCCAGCAGCGGGAGCGAAGCGGAGCCCAACCGGCGCCGGGCGGCGATGCTCCTTCCCCGGGTGCTCCAAGCGCCTCCCCACCGGATCACCAACTTTTTCATCGACAACATCCTGCGGCCGGAGTTCGGGAGGAGGAAAGAGGACGGCACTGGCCTTAGCTTGGACTCGAATTCGCAGCAGCAAAGCCACCCGCACCACCCCCAGCAGCAGCAGCAGAACGCCCCTCACCTCCACCAGCCCCAGCTCCTGCCCGCCAGGAGCCCCTCCGCAGCTCCCGCCGAAGGAGGAGGAGGAGGAGGAGGAAGCGGAGGCGGCTCCAAAGCCCTGGCCCCGGCCAAAAAGGGAGACGATTCGGGCGAGACGGAAGGAGCCCTGAAGCCCCGCGGTGGTGGTGGTGGTGGTGGTGGAGGAGGAGGGGGAGGGAGCAGCAGCGGGGGAGGCGGCGGAGGAGACCTCTCGCTCAGCTCCGACTCGGACAGCTCCCAGGCCAGCTCTTTCCCCAATGGGCAACCCATGCTCTGGCCCGCCTGGGTCTACTGCACCCGCTACTCCGACAGGCCCTCGTCAGGTAAGAGAACCGGGACAACACCCCCCTCCCCAGCCCCTTAGCAAGAAGCACAAACTCCCGGAGAAAGGAAGGAAGGAAGGAATCCTCCTCCTTCTCCGCAGTTTCAAAACAACGAGAGCAAAGTTGAACGGGGGGGCAGAGCCCAGATTTATAAAAGAAGGGTCTTAATGAGTAGAGGGAAAGATTGAATACAGAGAAGGGAGGGGGGATGAGAAGGCTGCACGGCACACAAAGCGACCTCCAGTCAAGGCACTTTGGAAACCAGACCAAACACGGAGCCTCCGAAGCGAAGGAGAGTGGCGGTATCTATCTATCTATCTATCTATCTATCTATCTATCTATCTATCTATCTATCTATCTATCTATCTATCTATCTATCTCGGTATCTATGTAACTATGTAGCTATGTAGCTATCTATCTCGCTATCTATCTATCTATCTATCTATATCTAGTTATGTAGCTTATCTATATAGTTATGTATGTATTTATGTAGTTATGTACATAATATGTATGTACATAATATGTACATAATATGTATGTACATAATATTATGTACACAATATTTATGTAGTTATAAACATTATATGTAGCTATCTATGTAGTTATCTATCTCTTTATTTAGTTATGTATCTATGTAGTTATGTACTACATAACTAGATAGATAGCTATATAATATGTAGCTATCTATGTAGTTATCTATCTAGTAGTTATGTAGCTATCTATCTATTTAGTTATGTAGCTAAGTAGTTATCTATCTCTGTAGTTATGTAGCTATCTTAGTAGTTATAGATTTAGTTATGTAGCTATGTATCTATCTATGTAGTTATGTAGCTATCTAAGTAGTTATCTGTCTATTTAGTTATGTAGCTATTTATCTATCTATGTAGTTATGTGGCTATCTATCTATGTAGTTATGTAGCTATCTATGTAGTTATCTATCTATCTATGTAGTTATCTATTTATCTATTTAGTTATGTAGCTATGTTTCTATCTATGTAATTATGTACGACATAACTAGATAGATAGCTACATAATATGTAGTTATCTATCTATCTATTTAGTTATACAGCTATGTGGCTATGCACTACATAACTAGATAGCTAGTTATGTAGTGCATAGCCACATAGCTGTATAACTAGGTAGCTAGATAGTTATGTAGCTATCTATGTAATTATCTATGTAGCTATGTATCTATCTATCTATCTATCTATTTATCTAGTTATGTAGCTAGAGATCTAGTTGCGTAGCTATCTATCTCTATCTATCTATCTATCTATCTATCTATCTATCTATCTATCTATCTATCTATCTATCTATCTATCTATCTATCTATCTATCTATGTAACTATGTAGCTACCTCTCTATCTATGTAGCTATCTATCTTTCTATCATCCCGCCCCTTGTATAGGACCGGAGGGAAAGTTCCTTGTAGGATTCCTAACCCACTTCTTTCTCTCTGAGAAAGGAGAATAATGACCTCGGCAAGGCCTGGCTCTAGAAGTCCCGCCGCTTGTAAACAGGCCTGGAAACGTGCCCCGTCCTTTCCTGCCTCCTCATCCCCGTCCAAAGGTGCCTGGAAGCACCTCCAAGCCTTCGGGGAGAAAGAGGGACCCCCGGGAGAGCTTTGCTTTGGGTGGTGAGGACCCCAAGACCCCGGAGAAGCAGGGAAATGCCTTCCTCTCTCGCCAGCCAGCGCCATTGGGAAGGCTTTGGCTCTCTCGGAGAGAGAGCGACAAGCTCCTTAAACATGGTCTCTTCTGTTTACAACCCTCGAGTCCCAAAGCCGAGCCGTTTCCCCCCAACTGACTTTGCAATTTATATCCCAAACCACATTTAATCGTGGAATAAAATTCCAAATGAGTAAGAGAGCGGTGTTTCGGATGATAAACATCCCCCGCCTGGTTCGAAATTTGCTCCATTGTTCTCCAGCCGCCTCCTTTGTTAATATTTAATTATCATACATCCCCACCACGGCCCAAAACAAAGATTTAAGTCGATTCCTTCCCTAAAAGGCTGGGAACAGGATCTTTCTGCAGATAAAATGTTTTGTTTTGATTTTAGTTTTTGCATGTAACGCTCAAAAATATAAAAATACCAGTTCGGCAAGGAAATTCGGTTAAAAATCCCAAAACAAAACAAAAAACCCTACATAGGTTTCGATTATAATATGTCATGGATCGAACAAGAGAGGAAGTCGGATCTTGAGGCCAATATTATTAAAAGAAAGTGCGTTTTGTTTCCCTGTTTATGATGGTGTTGCCGGAGTTGGTGCAAACAAGAGGTAAACATTGAGCAGGGCAAAACAGACTTAGGGAGTTTGCAGGCAGGAGCTGCTTCCTACTTTCTCTGGCCTCTGAGAAATAATCCCAACTCATTCTGGGTCTCTTAAGAGACCCAGAATGAGTTGGGATTATTTCTCAGAGGCCAGAGAAAGTAGGAAGCAGTTTCAGTTATATATATATATTTTTGCTGTCCCTCGGTCAGGAAGTCAGGACACTAGAGACACTCCAAGTGGCCAGTTTCTAGTCAAAGGACATTTAGCATTAAAACGTAATTGTGTTTTTAAATGCATTACATGTACCCTCAACTCGCTTCTGACACGATAAATAAACAAATAATCAGGAAGTATTTCTGATTATACTTCCTGGGAGATATCTCTGGCCCACAGCTGAATAAAACCCCACATTATCTGCTTTGAATTGGAATCTATGGCATTGTGGACTCGGATAACCCATTTCAAAGCAGATATTGTGGGATTTTCTGCCTTGATATTCTGGGTTATATGGCTGTGTGGAAGGGACAGAGTGGGGAATGGGAAAAGACGAGACTTTGATACGGTGGTTGGCCAAGTGAAAGCAAAGTTCCCTGTGTCCCTCTCCCCTCCCTTGCCTTCTTCTAGAGGTCCGAGGGTCAAAATCGCCTTCTCAGGGCCCTTCCATACAGCTATATAACCCAGAATATCAAGGTAGAAAACCCCACAGTATCTGCCTTGAACTGGGTTATCTGAGTCCACACTGCCATATATTCCAGATAGTGTGGGGTTTTATTCGGTTGTGTGGGAGGGTCTTCAGATAACCCACACAGCCCTATATCCCAGAATATCAAGGCAGAAAGTCCCACAATATGTGCTTTGAACTGGATTATCCGAGTCCACACTGCCATATATTCCAGATAATGTGGGGTTTTATTCAGTTGTGTGGGAGGGTCTTCAGATAACCCATACAGCCCTATATCCCAGAATATCAAGGCAGAAAGTTCCACAATATGTGCTTTGAACTAGATTATCCGAGTCCACACTACCATATATTCCAGATAGTGTGGAGGTTTTATTCAGCTGTGTGGAAGGGTGTTCAGATAACCCAGGGCCCTTCCACACAGCCCTATAGCCCAGAATATTAAGGCAAAAAATCTCACAATATCTATTTTGAATTGGGTTATCTGAGTCCAAACTGCCATATATTCCAGACAGTGTGGAGGTTTTATTCAGTTGTGTGGAAGGGTGTTCGGGTAACCCAGGGCCCTTCCACACAGCCCCATATCCCAGAATATCAAGGCAAAAAAATCCACAATATCTGCTTTGAATTGAGTTATCGAGGGCCCTTCCCCACAACCCTATATCCCAGAATATCAAGGCAGAAAGTCCCACAATATGTGCTTTGAATTGGATTATGCGAGTCCAAAGTGCCATTTATTCCAGATAATGTGGGGTTTTTATTCAGTTGTGTGGGAGGGTCTTCAGATAACCCAGGGCCCTTCCACACAGCCCTATATCCCAGAATATCAAGGCAAAAAATCCCACAATATCTATTTTGAATTGGGTTATAGAGGGCCCTTCCACATGACCCTATATCCCAGAATATCAAGGCAAAAAATCCCACAATATCTGCTTTGAATTGGGGTATCGAGGGCCCTTCCACACAGCCCTATATCCCAGAATATCAAGGCAGAAAATCCCACAATATGTACTTTGAACTGGGTTATCTGAGTCCAAACTGCCATATATTCCAGATAGTTGTGTGGGAGGGTCTTCAGATAACCCAGGACCCTTCCACACAGCCCTATATCCCAGGCAAAAAAATCCCACAATATCTGCTTTGTAGTCCACTCTCGAATAATGTGGGATTTTCTGCCTTGATATTCTGGGATATAGGGCTGTGTGGAAGGGCCCTGCGTCCACACTGTTATATATTCCAGTTCAAAGCAGATAATGTGGGATTTTATTCAGCTGTATGGAAGGGGCCTGAGACTCTTTCGGGCTGAACGGGCCCTGGACGGAGGCCGAGAAGCGCCCCTCTCTCTGGTGGGCTCCTTCTCCTGCCAATCCACAGAGGGCACAAGCAGGAAGGAGTCAGGAAACGGGCAGGTCTTGCTGAGGCCTAGCCGGGGTCGCATAGAGATGGGATTGCGCCCAATTCCCCCCAGAACAAAAGAGAGAAGGACAACCCCCCTTTCCCCAATTCCCTTTTCTCCTTCAGCCTAAAGAAGAGCGGGCTGACTGAGTAGGAGGAGTCCCATTTATCCAGGCATGATTCCTGTACAGTTCCTGGACTTGTTTCCCTTTTAAAAAATGCAAACCCAATTTCCCTTCTCCTTCAAGCCTAAAGAAGAGCGAGCTAAGGCTGAAGGTCTTTCCACACAGCTATATAACCCATAATCTCAAGGCAGAAAATCCCACATTATTTGAGTGTGGACTCAGGGCCTTTCCACACAGCCCCATATCCCAGAACCTCAAGGCAGAAAATCCCACAACATCTGCTTTGAACTAGGTTGTCTGTGTCCACACTCAGATAATGTGGGATTTTCTGCCTTGATATTCTGGGATATAGAGCTGTGTGGAAGGGCCCTGGGTTATGAGAGTCCACACTGACATAATCTGAACCCCTCCCTCTGATATAATTTCCAACAAACAGTGGGCCCTTCCACACAGCCCTATATCTCAAATTATAAATGCAGAAAATCCCACAATATCTGAACTGGGTTATCTGAGTCCACATTGCCATATATTCCAGTTCAAAGCAGATATTGTGGGATTTTATTCAGCTGTGTGGAAGGGGCCTGAGTAGGAGGAGTCCCCTTCCTTCAGGCCTGCTTTCCTAGGCTTCCCCCCCCCCCTTCTAAACATGCAAACCCAATTCCCTTTTATCCTCCAGCCAAAAGAAGAGAAGGCTGAGGCTGAGTAGGAAGAGTCCCATTTATCCAGACCTGCTTTCCTGTACCTTTCCTGGGCTGGTTTACCTTCTAAAATGCAAAGAGTGAACTTGGAGGGATTGGGGAGGGGGCAGGAGAGAGTCTCTCTCATCTAAGGCAGAGGTTGGTGGAGGTGTCCTTGGCCTGGCTCCCTTCTTTCTCTTCTCTCCTCCCTTCCTCCTTTGGGTTGGATTGAGGAGTTGGGGAGGAAACTGGGCCGGATTTGGAGGAGTTGGAAAGGTGAAGGAGTTGGGAGGAAGCGAGGCTGAATTTGGAAAAGTCGGGGAGGAAACAGGGCTTGATTTGGAAGAGTTGGGGAGGAAATTAGGATAGATTTGGAAAAGTTGGGAAGCAAAGGGGGCTGGATTTGGAAGAGTTGAGGGGGAAAGGGGGCTGGATTTGGAGGAGTTGGGGAGGTGAAGGAGTTGGGAAGGAAACGAGGCTGGATTTGGAAAAGTTGGGGAGGAAACGGGGCAGGATTTGGAAGAGTTGAGGAGGAAAGGGGGCTGGATTTGGAGGAGTTGGGGAGATGAAGGAGTTGAGGAAACAAGGCTGGATTTGGAGAAGTTGGAGAGGTGGAAGAGTTGGGGAGGAAATGGAGCTGGATTTGGAAAAGTTGGGGAGGAAATTAGGATAGATTTGGAAAAGTTGGGAAGGGGGCTGGATTTAGATGAGTTGAGGAGGAAACGGGGCTGGATTTGGAGAAGTTGGAGAGGTGAATGAATTGGGGAGGAAATGGGGCTGGATTTGGAATAGTTGGGGAAGAAATTAGGATAGATTTGGAAAAGTTGGAAAGGAAAGGGGCTGGATTTGGAAGAGTTGAGGGGGAAAGGAGGCTGGATTTGGAGGAGTTGAGGAGGAAACAAGGCTGGATTTGGGAAAGTTGGGGAGGAAAAGGGGCAGGATTTGGAGGAGTTGAGGGGGAAAAGAGGCTGGATTTGGAGGAGTTGGGGAGGAAACAAGGCTGGATTTGGAGGAGTTGGAAGAGTTGGGGAAGAAACGGGGCTGGATTTGGAGGAGTTGGGAAGGAAACGGGACTAGATTTCATAGATTCATAAAGTCATAGAGTTGGAAGAGACCTTTTGGGCCATCTAGTCCAACCCCATTCCAAGAAGCAGGAGGAGTTGGGGAGGTGGAGGACTTTGGAGGAGTTGGGAAGGTGAAGGAGTTGGGGAGGAAACGGGGCTGGATTTGAAGGAATTAGGAGGAAACGGACCCCATTCGGGCCCCCTTCTTTGCCGCCCCCTTCCCCAGAGCGTGGGCCTCCCTTGCTCCGATCCAGGCCCTTTTAATTGGCCCTGCTTTCCAGAAAGAGCCGGAGTTCCCTCGAGGGACCCAGAGAACCACTTAGCTGGGGAAAGCCAAGGCAGACCTCGAAGCCCTTTCTCCACATCCCCGCCATTCCCTGAATGATTGAGTTAAGTGTCCAAGGCCTGGCCCCTTCCCTCACCCCTCTCTTTTGCCTTCTTTCGCCCCGGACGGCAGGCCCCAGGTCGCGGAAACCAAAGAAGAAGAACCCCAACAAGGAGGACAAGCGCCCGCGGACCGCCTTCACGGCCGAGCAGCTGCAAAGACTCAAAGCGGAGTTTCAGACGAACAGGTACTTGACGGAGCAGAGGCGGCAGAGCCTGGCCCAGGAACTCAGCCTCAACGAGTCGCAGATCAAGATCTGGTTCCAGAACAAGCGGGCCAAGATCAAGAAAGCCACCAGCAACAAGAACTCCTTGGCGGCCCACCTCATGGCGCAAGGGCTGTACAACCACTCCACGGCCTCGAAAGACGGCAAGTCCGACAGCGAGTAGAGGAGGAGGAGGGAAGGAAGGAAGGAAGGGCGGCAGAGCTGATTCCAGGCTTTGGGAAGCTTGGGCCTTCATCCAGGGGTTTTGGACTGCAACTCCCACCATTCCTAACAGCCTCAGGCCCCTTTCTTTCCCCCCTCTAAACCAGGCTTGGGTGAAAGAAAGGGGCCTGAGGCTGTTAGGAATGGTGGGAGTTGCAGTCCAAAACACTTGAAATGAAGGCCCAAGCTTCCCAAAACCTGGCTTATACAATGCAATAATTTAACTAAAAAAACAAAACCAATAAAGGGCCAGTGTATAAAGACTATACCAGCATAAATAGTGGAGGGAGAGAAATAATAATATTGTGTATTAGAATAATATACTTCTGCAATATTCAGTGTGTGTATATATATATATTATATTATATATATTATATATATATATAATTTACAGGTTAAGGTGTTGTAAAAAAAATTATCCGATGATAAAAATATTTTTTTTTCAGTTTGATGAAGCTTAAGTTAAACTTTTTTTGGATAGGCTTAAGCCCTCAGTGTTTGAAAACAGACATTTGGGACACTGTTTTTTGAAATTCAAAAAAAAAATATTAAAAAAAACAAAACAAACCACCACAAACTTTTTTGCTGAAGTCCAAAGATTTTTTTTATTATTATTGCTGCATTTTCACGAGAACTGTGAACCCGAATAAATAGCTCTCCTATTTGTTCTATGAGTTTTTATGTTTTCTTTTAATCTTTTACCTTCCTCTTGTGTTTTTTGCCTTTGGGGTGAATGGGATAGAAAAAAAATCATACTTTAAAAAATATTCATAATATTAAATTATAAACACGATATATAAACAATACCTGCTTTCCGCCTGGAAATATATAAATTAGGAAACTACGGGGAAATAGGTTCTTGTGGGTTTTTTCGAGCTATATGGCCATGTTCTAGAGGCATTTTCTCCTGACGTTTCGCCTGCATCTATGGCAAGCATCCTCAGAGGTAGTGAGGTGAAATAAATAAATTCCGAGTCATAAAGTAATGATGTATTGCGAAGGCTTTCATGGCCGGAATCACCAGTAATGATGAGGTCTCTAGTGTGGTGGGTTGCTGTGAGTTTTCCGGGCTGTGTGGCCATGTTCCAGAAGCATTCTCTCCTGACGTTTCGCCTGCATCTATGGCAGGCATCCTCAGAGATTGTGAGGTCTGTAGGAAACTAGGCAAGTGGGGTTTATATATCTGTGGAAAGTCCAGGGTGGGAGAAAGAACTCTTGTCTGTTTGAGGTAGGTGTGATTGTTGCAATTGGCCATACAGTGATGCCTAACAACTTTTCCTGAATTTTCCTTCCTTTCTCAGCAAAGTAAGCGTGTGGGAATTGAGAGTAGTTTTTTTAAAAGAGTGGCTTAAGTCCCTTGCACACATATATTCCAAAATATCAAGGAAGAAAATCCCACATTATCTGAGTGTGGACTAAGATAAACAAGTTCAAAGCAGATATTGTGGGATTTTCTGCCTTGATATTTTGGGCCCTTCCACACAGCCCTATATCCTAAAATATCAAGGCAGAAAATCCCCCATTATCTAAGTGTGGACTAAGATAAACCAGTTCAAAGCAGATATTGTGGAATTTTCTGCCTTGATATTTTGCTCCCTTCCCCACAGCCCTATATCCTAAAATATCAAGGCAGAAAATCCCACATTATCTAAGTGTGGACTCAGGTAACCCAGTTCAAAGCAGATATTGTGGGATTTTCTGCCTTGATATTTTGCTCCCTTCCCCACAGCCCTATATCCTAAAATATCAAGGCAGAAAATCCCACATTATCTAAGTGTGGACTCAGGTAACCCAGTTCAAGCAGATATTGTGGAATTTTCTGCCTTGATATTTTGCTCCCTTCCCCACAGCCCTATATCCTAAAATATCAAGGCAGAAAATCCCACATTATCCAAATGTGGATTCAAGTAACCCAGTTCAAAGCAGATATTGTGGGATTTTCTGCCTTGATATTTTGGGATAAAGGGCTGTGTGGAAGGGCCCTAAGTCCCCTTGCACACAGCTGAATAAAATCCCATATTTTTTTGCTTTGAAGTGGATTATATGGCAGTGTGGACTCAGATTGATATTTTGGGTTATATGGCTGTATGGAAGGGCTCTTAGTAAAAGTTAGTAAGCCAACAAGGGTTGATCTCTGAGAAATTCGGAAATCAATTCCAAAAATTAATTTCCCCAAAATTAATAAACTTTATTAAAAAAATTAATAAACTGCCCAAAAATCGTGTTGGCGGGATAGTTTTCTGGAGAGTGAAAAAAGAATATTGTTTTGGTTTGCTGTGAGTTTTCTGTTCCAGAATGGCCATACAGCCAGAAAACTCACAGCAACGCAGGGCCCTTCCACACAGCCCTAGATCCAAGAATAACAAGGCAGAAAATCCCACATTATCTGCTTTGAACTGGAATATATAGCAGTATGGACTCAGATAACTCAGGGCCTTTCCACATAGTCATATAACCCAGAATATCAAGGCAAAAAACCCCGCATTATCTGCTTTGAACTGGAATATATGGCAGTGTGGACTCTGATAACTCAGGGCCTTTCCACACAGCTCTGAATCCCAGAATATCAAGGCAGAAAATCCCACATTATCTGAGTGTGGACTCAGATAACCCAGTTCAAAGACGATATTGTGGGATTTTTTTGCCTTTATATTCTGGGATATATGGCTGGGTGGAAGGGCTCTGAGTCCACACTCAGATAATATGGGATTTTTCTGCATTGATATTTTGGGATATAGTGCTGTGTGGAAGGGCCCTGAGCTATCTGAGTCCACAGTGCCATATATTCCTGTTCAAAGCAGATATTGTGGGGGATATAGGGTTGTGTGGAAGGGCCCTGGGTTATCTGAAGACCCTCCCACCAGCTATGTGGAAGGGCCCAGAGTCCACACTGCCACCCATCCCAGTTCAAAGCAGAAAATGTGGGATTTTCTGCCTTGATATTCAGGGATATAGATCTGTGTGGAAGGGCTCCCAGTAATTCCGGCCATGAAAGCCTTCGACAAGACCTGGAACACCGTTTTGCGTTGTAGTTTCCTTAGGACGGTCTCTCTCCTTGTCTTCTTTTAAGAAGTTAGGGAAAAGCCTCCCCCCTCTCCCATCTTTGCCTTGTAGTTGTTGCCTCCAATTCACCCATCCATTACTGTTCATCCCTTGCTCGCAGTTGGGGCCTCATCACACTAAAAAAATCCACTTAAAACCCAATTTCTGCAGAATTTTGCAGAATTTGTATTTTAAGGAGAAGCCTTTAACAGCCTCACTAAACTACAAACCCCAGATTTGTTTGTATTTTAAGGAGGAGCCTTTAACAGCCTCACTAAACTACAAACCCCAGATTTCTGCAGGAGGCCTGGGCCAACTTCTGGCCCTTGGGACCCCCCCCCCCCCCCAAAGAGAGAAGGACAGTCCATTTGTGTAAGCAAGCAAGCAAGCCGAGGAAGAGGATGTGCATCTATCTACACTTCAAGTTTCTGGGGGATTGAATGCTCTGGTTGGGGGAGAATCGAGAAAAGGAGATAAGCCGATTCAAGGAAGGAGATTGAGACTGCTCTGCTGACTTCTTGTCCTGCAAGAGGGGTTGTTTATAAGGCGAGGGAGGCGTGTCTCTCACTGGGAACCTTACTGTTAGTGACTCTAGATTTTTGTTTCGAGGAGACAAGTCACTAACTCAGCAAAAACTCCAGGAAAGGTAGCCTTTCTTTGCCGAAAATTGGAGGGATTTTAAGCCGAGCACATAACATACCCGGTGAGGTTACAGTGGGTAAAGATGTGACAAAGAAAGATGTGAAATATAGTGATGCTTTGTGTTTGTTTTGGAATACAAAACAATACCTCCTCCCATCTCCTTTTGTGGGGAAAGAAGGCTCTCCAAAGTTGGCTAGAGCAGGCCTGGGCAAACTTCGGCCCTCCGGGTGTTTTGGACTTCAACTCCCACAATTCCTAACAGCCTACCGGCTGTTAGGAATTGTGGGAGTTGAAGTCCAAAGCACCCGGAGGGCCGAAGTTTGCCTGGACTAGATCCACACCAACTGTGCGACAATGCTTTGCCTTAAAACCTTTCCTTACTTCACAACCACAACACACACATTGTACACACAAAGTAGTATTCCGATTGAGTGAAAGAAACAATGATCTTAAATCTAGGGTGTAATGTTACATTCTGGGTCAATTATCGGGTGTTTACAGGGTTCAGTGGCATTGCCTTCGAGGAAGGAATCCTCCCCATAGTTGGTGCATTTTACAACTTGCAGTATCCAATATTTATTATATAAGATATTTGAAAACAGAGACATTTGGGACACTGTTTTTTGAAATTAAAAAAAAATTAAAAATTATTATGGACTATGAATGTTTTTATTTCCAAATTGTGAACCCTTTGTGTGTGTGTGGGTGTGTATGTGTGTGTGTGTTTCAAACCTTGGAAAGACTGCATTTAATAATTAAAAAAAAAACCAAATTTGTGATGGAACCTACCACACGTGCATCAGAACCTTGGTTTGATAGACAGTTCTTCCAAAATGTCTTTTCTGAGACGCAAAGGAAATTATAGGTGTCTAAAGGTTGTGAGGTTTCCCAGGATTAGGAGATTCCCTCGGTTTAGGAGAAGATTTTTTTTTTCAGCCAAGCGATTAATCGATTTTTTAAAATAAAAAAAATATATAATTAAGGAACTGTAAACGATTCATCTTGACCTGGGAGAACAGTTACCAAACTTTATAACATCCAAACTTGGAATCTACTTGACATGAGCCTTCTTCCAGACAGCCATATAACCCAGGGCCCTTCCACACATCTCTATATCCCAGAATATCAAGGCAGAAAATCCCACAATATCTGCTTTGAACTGGGTCATCTGAGTCCACACTGCCATATATTCTAGTTCAAAGCAAAAAATGTGAGATTTTATTCAGCTCTGTGCAAGGGACCTCAGATCTGCTTTGAACTGGGTTATCTGAGTCCACACTGTCATATATTTCAGTCCAAATCAGAAAATGTCGGGTTTTATTCAGCTGTGTGGAAGGGCCCTCAGATAACCCAGTTCAAAGCGGATATT